TGTCTGTGTGTGTGTGTGTGTGTGTGTGTGAAACATTAAAACATCTTACCAAACCCAAACGTTTGAACAGTCGTGTGACTCTCAACAAAAGAACTAAAGCATAATCGTGTGTTCATCAAACAGTCCAGTATGAGTATGATTGTGTTTATGTGCTTTATTCTGTGTTTACACCTGCATGTGTCCGTATCAGGGTGACTCACACACACACTCTCTCTCTCTCTCTCACACACACTCACTCACACACACAGTCTTATAATGCAGATGCATCATGGGAGTTTTGCGTTCACTAATGATTTCCAGTGTTCAGTGAGAAACACAGCTGAGCTGAGTGTGTTTTCTCCAGCATGTTAAGGTCAGAGCTGCATGTTAATGCTTGCTCATAATAAAACATGCTGATTTCATTTAGGAGAGAGCTGCATGACACCGGGCAGTTTGTTCTGGACTTGTGTTTAATGTAGAGAGTTGCATTTGTAAATGTTTTACCTCCAGCGTACATGACAGCCAGCATGATGGAGGAGATCCAGGCCACCTCACTGTACGAGGCATTGAAGATCCTCTGGATGTCTTTGAAGAACACGGTGGTGGCCTTTGGGAAGGCGTAAGAGAATCCAATGGAGATGAAAGCCCCGCCCACCACAGCCCAGCCCCACCCACCGTCTGGAGGCGGCACGGCTGGGGGTCCGACAGGTGGAGGCATCGTGAATCACTGCAGGAGAGACGGAGACCAGAACACGCTATTAGATTGAGATTTACAGCTGTGACATTCAACCAATCGTGTGAGTGTGGGGGCGGGACTATCTGCCCGACTGACCAATGAGAGACCAGAGGGAAACCTGTCTGAAAACAGGTGTTTTTTATTTTACTGGAATCCTGCAGAAATGACACCGGATTCTGTTTTTAGTCTCTGGTGGGAGGATAGAAAGAGCAGATATAGCAGCTCTGGGTGGAAGAAGCCTGTAATGAGGCTCCAATTAAAACCAAACACACATAAAGAGAGTTCAGGAGCCAAAACAGATGCTTTTCACGTCTTTGGTTTCATCATAAACACACTCTATGGCAAATAATACTGAAAAAACATGCACTAAAAATGGACATTTGTTTGTATGGCGCATTTCACGAGCAGCTTTACAGAAATCCATTATGTTAGTTACATTTTTTTAAACAATCATGTATTTGAGATTTGCTTTATAGTATATATAATATATAAGTGTATTGTATGTCAGCCAAAAAAGTTGTAATATATACACATATATATATATATATACAACTTTATATATTGAGCTGTGCATTAATACAAAATACTATATATCCAACTTTATATTGAGCTGTGCAATTATATATAATTGTACTGTACAGAACACATTATTCATGAAGTCAGATATAAATGCAGAATTCTGAGAAAAAAGTCTGAATTGTGAGATAAAAACTCGCAATTACCTTTTTTATTTTTTATTTCATGGTGGGGGGAAAAAACCAATTGCAAAATGTAAACTTGGAATTGCAAGGTAGAAAGTCATAATTATGAGATCATATCAGAATATGCCAGAATTGCACAAAAAGTCCAAATTGTGAGACAAAAGTCACAATTACCTTTTTATTGCTTTAATCCCGTGGCGGAAACGAGCTTATACATAATATCTAGACTCAGTTTCAGTCTTTTAACAGCTTCATAATCCTCTTTTGGCATTTATTTGCATACTGAATTGTGATTGATCTGCTCTTCCTTTCATATATTTCATCATTTCATTTACGCACAACTAAAAGCTGAACTCACCTAAACTCTCACACTTTCCTGCTGCTGCTGATTCTGTCCAGACCTTGACCTTCACGTCCAGATCACGCAGAGTGTGTGAGATTTAGGAAAATAAAGGCCACTCTGGTCACTGAGACAACACAAGTCATCGCCACGGCAACAGTGTTTACAGCTGTCAGTCACTGACCAATAAAGCCCCGCCTCCAGTTCCCTTCGGGATCCGCCTCCTGCTGCTTGAGTTCATGGAAATGTGGGCGGGGCTACAGACGTAACAAAGTCATTGTTTACAAACCAAACAAAACTTGAGTGATTCTTATCATGTGATATTTCAGTTCTGAAGCCACACACACACACAGCGCTCATGTGATGTTAACACCCCAGAACTAAAGCCCTGTGTAAGATAAGCTTTTGTTTTTGGCTGCGCTCTCCAAATCCAAATAACCTTCCTGCAAAGTTATTATAAATGGTATCACCGCATGCTGGCATCAATTATTTTACATTATATATTTCAAAGTAACAAACATTGTTCATGTTGTGACTACAGCAAGCACATGCCAGCGCAAAACTCATCACACAGGAAAAAAACAGGTAATTGTGACTTTTTATCTGACAATTCTGACTTTTTTCTTGCAATTCTGAGAAGAAACATCCGATTTGTGAGACTTAAACACAATTGAAACAAAAAAGTCAGAATTGTGGGATAAAAGGTCGCAATTACTTTTTTTATTTCGTATTCCATGGCGGAAACAAAAAATACGGAGAAAAAAGTGCGAATTGCGAGATTTAAACAAAAAATTCCAAGAAAAAAGTGCGAATTGCGAGATTTATACTCAAAATTCGGAGAAAAAAGTCTGAATTGCGAGATTTAAACTCAGAATTCCGAGAAAAAAGTCTGAATTGCGAGATTTAAACCAAAAATTCCAAGAAAAATGTGCGAATTGCGAGATTTATACTCAAAATTCGGAGAAAAAAGTCTGAATTGCGAGATTTAAACTCAGAATTCCGAGAAAAAAAGTGCGAATTGCGAGATTTAAACAAAAAATTCGGAGAAAAAAGTCAGAATTGCGAATTTAAACAAAAAATTCAGAGAAAAAAGTGCGAATTGCGAGATTTAAACAAAAAATTCGGAGAAAAAAGTCAGAATTGCGAGATTTATACTCAAAATTCGGAGAAAAAAGTCAGAATTGCGAATTTAAACAAAAAATTCAGAGAAAAAAGTGCGAATTGCGAGATTTAAACAAAAAATCCAGAAAAAAGTCAGAATTGCGAGATTTAAACAAACAATTCCAAGAAGAAAATGCGAATTGCGAGATTTATACTCAAAATTCGGAGAAAAAGTCAGAATTGCGAATTTAAACTCAGAATTTCGAGAAAAAGTCGGAATTATAAGTTTATATCTCACAATTCTGACTTTTTTTCCTCAGAATTGCAATAAAAAAAGTCAGAATTGTGAGATTGCAATTACCTTTTTCATTGTTTGTATTGACTTGATTTGATATTTCTCACTGGCGCTCAAATTATAAACCAATCACACGTCTTGTTTAAAGTGATGTGGTTCGTCTGATCCAATCAGAAGCTGAAGCGAGTACACTACTAATGCAGCGATGTGATTGGCTGACGGCAGAGATTCAGGTGACGCTGTTACCTGACACCTGGAGACGTGAGCTGACTAAACGAGACACAGTGAGACGTTACGAGAGGTTTGAGGTCTGTATTCTCCTTCAGCTTCAAGGTCCCGGTGTGGCTTGAGGCAGTGAGTGCTGCCTCATGAATATTTAATGAGATGGCCTTCCTCATCTTTAGCCATGATTTCTCTTCAGTTCATCACAAACATCTCCATTCCCGCTGAACGATTACAAACGAACACACGTGTTGGTAGTTCTTCTGTGCTGTCTAAAGCACTATTCAGACACAGTCATATTCCATGCATTGTGAAAATCGCTTTACAAATAAAACAGACCTGACGCAGCTGATCTACTGCGTGTCCCAGGCTGTTTTCAAGGTCTCTGTCTGTCCTGGTTTGATATTTCCAAACTCACAGACTGTGCCGAGGACATTGAGGGTCATGCGGAACCGCTGGAAAACTTCACTTCACTGCCATTAACTCTTCATAGTGTGACTGTGAACAGAGACCCAGCTGGCAAAACCTATTGAGTTATGAAACATTTCTGAACAATGTTACTTTAGTACACTATTATAGTTTTTATTAATATTTTAAATCAGTTTTTATTTTTACATTTTCCATTTGAATTTTATTTAGAGTTTTAGTAATTTGTTGTGTGTTTTTGACATTTTTAGTAGTTTTTATTTTATATATCACTATATAGTTTTAATATAATTTTATTTTAGTTATTTTAGTACATCAAGTTAAAGGGGTGTACTAGAACAGGCTCTCATACTTGGTTGTTCGAAAAACACATTATTTTTTAAATATTTCACATTATTACAACACTGAAATACGAAATGTGCTGTGATTGGTTAGCTGGGCCAGTGTGTGCTGTGATTGGTTTGCTGGGCCAGTGTGTGCCGTGATTGGCTAGCTGGGCCAGCTAGCTGGGCCAGTGTGTAGCTGGGCCAGTGTGTGC